ACCAGCTACTGCTAAAGTACAGATAAATAAATAAATTGATAAATTAAACAAAGCCTATTCTCACAGCAAAATTAGAGCTCCATTGACAATTTCTTTCTTGAAAAAAAATGTGCGGTTGGTAATGTTCCTGCTAATCTTATCACCACTGCCTCCTGTCACCTCCAGTTAGAGCCTGTTCATTTATTTTCTGCTTATAATCTCCTTTAATTACTTCTCAGACACAAATGATGTTGCTATAATGAAACATGTACACATTCAGAAAATACTTAAGCAAAACTTTCCACTAATGTGTTTATATGATTGTTTTGTCTTGTATTTCTAAACTTACTACCAATTGTCTTTCTTTGTCAAACATATTGGGGCAATTACAGAAGTTGCTATGGGTACAATACGCAACAACCAATGAATTTAGATAAATACATTATCATATTAATATCACAAAAGTAATCTTTAAAAGATTTACTGGTAAAAACAGGTGTGTGTGTGTGTGTGTGTGTGTGTGTGTGTGTGTGTGTGTGTGTGTGTGTGTGTGTGTGTGTGTGTGTGTGTGTGTGTGTGTGTGTGTGTGTGTGTGTGTGTGTGTGTGTGTGTGTGTGTGTGTGTGTGTGTGTGTGTGTGTGTGTGTGTGTGTGTGTGTGTGTGTGTGTGTGTGTTTTCCCATGTCTGCGTATGCATGAAATGTGTTAATGAACTATGATGGATCCTCCCAGAGGCAAAAGCCCTCAAAGTTACACTTCCTAATGAAAGCATAAACATGTGTGACATTTCAACTCAGCACATCTTTATATCTCACCCCCTGTGGGTACGACACACACATATGCACACACACTCACTCCACCACCTCTCATCTACCTTAACCAAATACACACAAGTCAACCTGTCACCCAGATTTAAGTTATCATACTCGGGAGTGTTTCTGTGTCTGTCTCTTTTTCACTTTATTTACATATGATGATACAATGAGAACAGCTTGTCACACTGTCAGAATTCCTCTGCATATAACGAGTTTTTAAGATTCTATATATTTGCTCCCATAAACCATCTCTCCTCATCTCCAATTGGTCTTTTACTTACATCTGACAGGCACTTGATATCCTGATACATCAGAATTATCGAAGAGCATGCTATGATAGCTACGGTAGTGCTGGGAAATGTCGTCTTTGGAGGGGGGTCTAGCTTCATAGCTCTCTTCCATCTGCCGCTGCCTTCCTCTCGTTAATTCACTTTTTGTAACACACTCACATATTCACACACAACACCATGATGTTCAACAGTACAAGAGATAGTGGGTAAGACAGGTCACTGTGTACTTGTGTGTGCATTTGGGTCAAAGCTAATCTCGTTCCAGTCTAGATGTGTCTAACAAATTCACCTCCAGACATATTGACGTCTTTTCAGAGGAGACAGGAGTCATTTAAGGGCGTCAACTAACGTTTGATTAGAATGTCATGTGACCACAATATGCCCTAATTTAAATGTATAGTTATAGTATGTAAAGATAAGGCCTGGCGTAGACGGTTATAGTTAAAGATTTGAATACCGTGTCGCAACCAACATTTCATTATGTATTCATCAGAGTGAGAATTGGCAGTGGTGGTGAAGATGTTTAAATTGTCTGCACCCCAAGCTAATGGCACTCATTGGATAGATATTAATTTTCTTACTCGTATTTTGCAATTCACAGATGTATAAATAAACATCATAAAACATAATTTATTAGAAAGCGTAATTTAAAATGAGATGCATTTATATTTTGCCCATATGTTAAAAAGTATTTTATCAATTGTAGTAGGACTTATTATTTTGTTGTTGTCAGGTTTATGTCCACCAAAGGGGATTAGCCGTAAAAGCAAGGATTTATATTTTACCTGGAATCTAGACTACTGAACGTGATGCCACACCATTATGTTGCATTAAGTATGCAAAACATGGATTGGCCTCCACCCCGATATGTTGTGGTCGTGAAACGATTTAATGCTACTGGATTAACAAATTAAACACGACTGTAACATATGGAGCAAATAAATAGCTTAATTCACCTTGGCTACTATGATGTGGCAGCGTCTTACGGCAGAGGTCCGTAATGCTGAAAGGAAACGTATGTAAACCCACCTATTCACCAACGCCTATGGATCTAGTTAATACTGTTATCCCTGCAAACATTGCTATTATTATTTTCTGTTTTGTGTTATTTCCTTTTGTCTGCCTCCATATGCGTAACCTTGGTTCCCCTGAAAGCCGCTACAAAAATGCAAGCTATTATTATCATTAGCTATTGGCTAGACACATAGAATCTGTCTACCTTATGAAATACATTTTTTCTTTCACCCGTGTGCATGCCTTTGAAATGTTTTACTGCCCCTTGGTTAAGATGTTGGTAAAGACTTGTGAATTGCTGCATCTTTTTCAAAGTTTGACAGTGTGTTACCAACTCATCCCCCGAAATCCTGTCTCATTTTATCTTCTCTGTTGAGTCACAGGTTTAAGCTCTGAGTTGGCATCATTTCCATCCAGAGATTGCCTCATCCGTATGTTATAACATTTTTTATTACCATAAACCTGATGAATGTGCAGTCTGAAAAGTGTTAGTCAACATGTTACATGGTGGTATATGGCTTAAGGTTTTAATCAGGCTTACTGTATGTCCAATGATGACCTGGCTTTCTGAGACCATCCTGCTGCACTTTAATGCCGCTACTGAAGCTCAGCAGTGACGGGCCATGCTGAGGCAATTAGAAATATGTCCGTTTTGCTGATAATACACATACATTTCAAATGTATTGTAATTTTCTTAGTTTTTCTCTCTCTTTTCTTACCGTCCGTTCTCATCAGTTTTTTCAGTCTTTCTCTCTCTGTGACTTTCTCTGCAAATGTTACTAGAGGAGTCCTAATCCTGTGAAACAATGGTGTGTGTGTTGTGTTTCTCACCGGATATCATATCCATCTGGACATGGATTACCTTTAAGAGCGTGTCTGTAGAAAGGTGTATGTGTTAATGCATTTACATCTAGTCAGGTGTGTGTCTGCTGTTTATGTGTGTGACATAAGAGTGAGGGGAAATAGAGAAAGCTAGCTGCTGACTTGCCCACATAAGCATCCAGGAGTTATCTGTTCAGCCAAGCTGAGACAAACAGACAGAGACTGAGAGAGAGAGAGAGAGGAGGAAGGTGAGTGAGCGAGGTAGATACTGAGGGAGGGCGATATGGCAAAAAGGGCAGAGATACTGAAGTGTGGGAGGGAGATAGACAGGAGGGCTCTGCAGCGACACAGAAGGTAAACTACAGCTATACTTAGGTAGGAAAACAGAGCAGCGAATTTAAAGATGTTGCGATGAGAGTAGTGGGGATGGCAGATAAGGTGGTGGGGTTTAAAAAGAAAAAGGTATATATGTTTATATTTTAGCGTAAGTAAGGTTTCAATACATAGCATTATTTACGTTTAGATAATATGGTTATATTCTTAGCAACATAATTGTTGTAACCAGCAGGCTTTAACGGTTCTCACTGTAATCTATAGACTGTCTTTTATGTAGCAAAACCTACATGTTTGCTTGAATTTACCAATAACAATACCAAGCTATAACGCTAGGGTGGAAGTTCTGATTCCACCTTCACAAGCAAATCTGACCAATAATGATGGAGGAAAAGTCTAATGGATTCATACTAGTATTGTTTTGTTGCGCCATGTTGCTTCATGTACTGGTACGGTGATGTAATACAATCCAGAAAAGCAGAATTTGATGATATGATAATGTCCAAGAAATATGTGTTTTAACATTTTATTGGCAATGCAGTGTTATGTGTTGTATTGCATCAGCAGATGGGCCAGGTTACATTACATTGTTTGCAAAGTATTTTATAACCTCTGACTTACCTGGCTCCTTGACACAGCTTACCCTACAGTTTGGTCTCTACCAACTTTGAAACCAAACTTAGATCTTTGTCGAATGTGGAAATAAAGGTTTAGATGGAAGGCTGCTGAGCGTCTTCCAGTCTTTGCAGAGATCAGAGGAATTATGTCCACTGTGAGGCTCCCAAACCCCTGACAGCAGCACGCCGCACCTGGAGAGGAGGAGGATCTGAGGAAGTGGAGGAGAAAAGGAGAGGAGGAGGTGCAGGTTCAGAAAAGTGAAAGGGGGTGTGTATTAAAGAGGGAATGCTGCACAAGATTAAGGCTCAAGGAAGAATGGAGGAGAGACATGAAAAGGCTAAATGCTATGGTTAATTGAAGTCAGCATAGTTGCATCATCCCGTTTTGTCTTAGTTTTCTTTTGTCAGTCTCAGACTTGAAAAATTAAAACAAATGAAGTTGGATTTTCTGTCTTTTTCGCTTTTTCATAAATCCACATTTACAGTAAGTGTGCTCCCACTCTCAAAGTAAGTGGTGAGTTTGCCAAGTCAATGAATCACCCATTTAAGTCTGCATGACTTAAGTGCGGGTGGTTAACCAATCAATAGTTGTGCTGAATGACTGGGTGAAGGCTGCAGCATCATGCTTCTGTGCATTCATGACTCATAGACAATTTTTTTGATGTCAGCATACTGTGTGTGTGTGTGTGTGTGTGTGGGGGGGGAAAGAGTGAGTGTGGGATAACTGTGAACTTGGCAGTCCTTTAACAGCCTTTAAAATACAACAAACACTTTCCTACCAAACAGTGAAGCACAAGTGTGATGACGTTTCTTGCACAACTTTTAATTTCAAACCCAAATCCCCCCCATCACCCCCTCCTTTATTTCCTTCTCCTTTCATCTTTTCTTGCTCATTATAATTTTGTTAATATACAGTTTCTAAATCCTCCACCATCGCCCAGTGCTTTTCTTCTCCTCACCCCCACTCCACTCCCACTCCTTGAAAGCTGGAAATCAGGACAGTTCAGCAGCGGAGGGGTTAAGCTGAACCCGGCCCTGTGATTGGCTGCCGGCCGGCGGTCTCAACCAGCCTACAGAAAGAGGTAACCAGGCAACCTCAGAGAGGGAGAGGAAAGAAGAGGGGGCAGAGGAGCGAGGAGAAAAAAAAACCGCGCTGAAAGAAGCCTGGCATAGTTTGGTGGGGATTGTTTGAAAAAGATGTAACGAAGCTTGCAAGAGCTCTCTACGGGATGGAAAACTGGATTACTGCCCCTGCTGAAACACACTGTGGATGTCTGAATAAACCAGGAGGAGATACACGGGAATGAATGGATTCTAAAGCCTTTTCACAAAATGGGAACTAACTGTGCTCTTTTTCGCTGTAGTGCAAAGGTAAGTGCGCCAATGCAAACAGCCTTAAACGGATTTGGCACATTTCGTCCTACAAAGTGTGCAGAATACTTTGAGATCGGTGTGTGATAGTTGCTGTGTGTGGACCTGGGGAAGAGCCTGTGGATTCAGAGTGCTCTGCTCCTATCTGCAATGAATTATCTATCGCTGCTGGTGCATCGGGATTGTACTGTGCCTGCCTGAGTGTGTGTGAGTGTGTGTTGGACGGTTGTGGGGGGAGTGACCCCATAACTGAAACAGTGGTCAGGGTCTCTGTGTGTGATGTTAGGCGGGAGGTTTTCTGCATTTGGCAGCTGTCTCCCCCTCTTTTTATCGGACACTCAGCTCCAGATTATTCATGTTTTCTATATAAATGTACTATTTAACGTGCACTTCAATGTACTTCTCTTAGTTTGGTAAAGCGTGTTTTCCTCGTGCTTGTCTTCGGTGGTGACTTTATAGGAACCGTATTATTCTTTAACTTAAATTAGTTTTAATAAGCTGTGTTTTGAGACCCTACATGCACTTAGCCTAATGCTTGCTTAATTAGATTTGTTTGCAAGTGTACGAGCATCTTTTTGTGACTTTATTTCATGTTCCTTCCCGCGAGGCTTGCTACCCCCGCAGTGTGTGATTTAATGCTCCCGGTGTGTGCGGTTTAGTCCACTTTGGAGGGTTGGCTCGCAGTGGGAGTGAAGTGAAACGGGGTACTGTGGAGGTTACACGGGTGTTGAAGTGTGAGCGTAGAGATGTATTCAATGGTGTGTGTGTGGGCTGTAGCTGGCACTGGTTTGGGTTGATGGAGAAAGAGAAGCAGAGCTGAATGGGAGACCCGGTCAGTTTGCTGTGAGGGGCACAGGCTCCGCTGCAGCTAAAAGCCGCATTAATCATGAAGCTCTGCAGACACTCTCTCTCTCTCCTCTGTCTGCTCACTACCTGCAGCAGCTTTACTGTATGTGTAGCAGGTGCAACCGTAGTGTGTGGATTTGAATGGATTTTCTACAGGTTTAAAATGGGACTATATGTAAATCACAACTGTCATTAATTTGGAGGCGTGTGGTGTTTGGATCAGGGGGCCACAGGTTCAAACCCCACTGCAGTTAGTATGTCGTTGTGTCCCTGGGCAAGACACTTCACCCCAAATTGCTCCTGTGGGGATTGTCCACAGTATTGTAGTAAGTCGCTTTGGATAAAAGCGTCTAACAAGTGACATGTAATGTAATATAATGTATTTACTTCTAGCTGTAAAAGTAGAATTTTTAGTACATAACATTTTTAATTTAATAAAAGGAATGGTGTAGTGCTGCTACTTTAACCCAGGTTTAAGATTTGAATAGGTTTTCCACTCTTGCCAAACAGACCTCTTACTTCTGCCTGTATGGGCCCAGCAGGGCGTCATAGTAACCCAGAGCCTCAGAGCATTGTGTGGAAACTCTGAAAGAAACACCCTGTTGAAGGCTCTCTTTCTCCCTCGTTCAATTCTCAACTCCATCTGCTCCGTCTACAGTCTCAGCCTGCCTTTCTTGCCAATTCTGGTACTCCACAAACCCAGTCTGCCTTTTACAATTGATGTTTTCCAATGCAGTATAGTAGGTTTTGTGTCTTTGCTTTGTAATAGTCGACAAAGCTGTTGAAATTAATGTTGATGTGAATCTTTAACAGAACAGAGTTGTTTTAGGCTTTGCAGTATTGACAACAGTAAATCATTGTGACCTGGAGCTTACTAACTCCTAAAGCTTTTAATAGTTTGTAACTCTGAATTTGTAACATAACCTCTAGTATCTGGAAGGCCTTCTTTTATGGAAGAGTTTAATGGTACGTAAACTCATCTGACACCATGTGAAAAGGTTTGCACACAGTTGCAAGCTGTAAAATATAAAGAATCACCTGAAAGACATTAAGTCAAGCTCAAACTGTTTGTTCTACTGTGTTCTGTGTAGTTTGAATCATAGCACTTTTATAGTAAAGGTTGCCATTGAGCAAATGTAAGTGTAGTAGCCTTTGATAGCAGAGACCCTGAGACAGAGGCCCTGACCCCGACCTTACCAATTCTAAGCTTTTATTGGACCACACAGTACAAAGCAGCAACAACTTGTGTGTTTGTATCAGCCAGGACTAATGTAACATATGATTAGCTTACAGTTTTGTATCAAACATGTATTATCATCATTCACATTGCTACCTGCTTTATTTTGACACTTGTTGCTTAGATATAATTCAATATACTAGAAACGTAGCCTGTTCAGGGTACTTGCCCAACTCCACCGAAGCTATTTCTTAGTTTGAATCAGCTGTGGTAAAACCAATGAGCAGCTATGTGCAGTTTCTTTCTTTCTTTGACAAAAGCAGCACTACTCCACATTCATTTTCCTTTGGACTATTTCAGACCAAGGTTCATTTTTGGGTCAATTTTGCCCTTGTCTGTTTTTTACCAAAACGTTCCATTGGGTAGATGTGAATGATTCAGCTACACTTTTTTTCAAATCACTAAAACCCCCATGAGGTTGTAAATCCAATTCATGTTTGACTTCCTGCTCAGCAGTGTGTACTTTTACAAAGAGCTTTACAATGATTTCCTCATCAGCAGATAAATCATTTATGTCCAATATAAACACATGCAGTTATTGTAATGGGTACATCCCAAATTATACAACAACTGAGCACTTTTCCTCCTTCCTACCTTTTCTCACCTCTGTTAGTTAAGTCCAGTTCACTGGGGATGTGCACAGCTATGACTCATAATTAAACCAGGGTTATATTCTTCAGTATGAGCTACAGAAGAACTTGTTCCCTTTTTAGATGTACTTATATCTGTCAACAGTAATACAAAAACAGAAAAAAAAGTATTTTAAACAGGTTGTAGCATGTTAACTATTGGTATTTTTTCAGTAGGGGGTTCCACCGCTACAGAGCAATGAAAGAGGGAGAATTGACTTGCTCTTGGCTGGCTGCCCTTCCCATTGATCCACATCCTGCATGTGTATGTGTGTGACATTCTCTCAGATATAATTGGCATCGAGAATATCTTTACAGCCCACTGGGAGTATATGTGTATATATACCCTATTTTCCTGGCCTTTATAAGGGAAATAAGATGTGTGTTTGTGATACTTTGCAAATCAGCATACATCACACAACACATGCACAAAACCCTAAGACACAGCATGTGCTCAGAAATATCATTACCACCTATCACGATTACTTGAATAGAACAGGCAAACTAAAGCACATAAAAACGCAATCAAGCACGTTACACACCCACACACAAATAGTGGTTGTGAGAGATCAGGGCAGAGCATCCAGAGGTGCAGATCGAGCTGCCAGCTAATCTGCCTCTGCAGTCTGTAATCTGTAATCTTTTTAAAACACTCACAATCTGTCCACACCACTGGGATTAGCATCTGCAGACACAACAACAGCGCGCACACTCGTACATACACACTTTTCACTGCCCTTACACTGACTGCAAAAAGACTGCCGCTTGGGTTTGACTTTGCTCTGCTTTTGCAGCCAGATTTTTCATTACAGCACTTTCACTATAAAAGGGAATAAGAAGATAGATAGAAGTAATGCTATATATATTTAGTCTGCTATACTAGTTTATAGAACCTGATTTAGTGAGTGCAAGTTATTTTTTGTACTGTATGATTGTGTTTGGATCAGAAGTGTTTAAATAGTGATTAGAAAAGTTGGATTTGGAGTCAAGACCTCAAATAATAAAATGTTTACACTTATAACAGATCACATAGTAACAGACTATAAATGATTGAACCATAGTAATTGCTTTTTTTTCTCTTCATTCACATCCAGCCTCCTTATAGCTCTTTACTTCTCTGTGCAAACAGTGTCCTTTCTGTGTTTTCTCAATCTCTGTCTTTGGTTCTCCATCTCTACCCTGTCTGTTTTTCTCAACATTGCTACACCTCTCTCTTTTTATCTCCCCCCTTCTCTCTCTCTGTCTCTCTCTGCCTGTAGTGTAGCTTCAGGGATCCTCATGTTTCAGATGAGATGTTGATTATGGAACAGAGAGGCTTGAGTTCACTCTTCTTTTTATGCTCACATTCACATTGCCATTATTATTTCACATCATCATTATCACATTTTCTTTCATTTTCTCTTATATACTGCTGTTTACGCCTGGTCCTCTTGCTCATTTCTTCCTCCAGTGAGCGCCACTTTGGGGTGAAATCGCAAAGGTGTTCACTTTGTTAATGGGTTTTCACAGCAAACAAAAGCACTTTAGGGCAAGCATTGGCAAGAGGTAAAGACACACACGCACACGCACACAGCAGAAAGTACCACACTGGAGTCACATCACATTAACACTTCAATTAATTGAACGCCTTACATTCTCATTTCCCCAGAAGTCAAGATCCCTGCACCCCCCTTTCAAAACCCCTCTCTTACAAACAAACACACACACACACACACACACACACACACACACACACACACACACACACACACACACACACACACACACACACACACACACACACACACACACACACACACACACACACACCACGTACTGAGGAGCTGGAGAGGAAACGGCAAACAAAGAATCATAAATACCATTTTAATTTGTGTTCTCTGCCTTTCAATCAGCCATGTACAAAGGAGCAGAGATGCCTGGTTTTGTACTATGTTCTTTATTCAAGGACCACAATAGATAATGTATGCATGTACAGTACATGAGGAGTGGGCTCTCAGGTTTGCTGGGGGGTTTGTTAGCTGCACATCCCTGTGGAAGGGCGCCACTGACTTTCACACTCGCTCTGAGACAGCAGCAAAGTTAGAGAAAGAAATAGACGGAGACAGAAATGGAAAGATGTTTTCCTTTGAGGATTTCTTCTTTATATTTCTGCCCCTCTTTCTTTCTCTCTTTGTCTCTCTGTTGCTTTCTCTCCATCTGTGCTTTTCTGTGGCTGCTCACTAATGAATTTGTAACTGTCCCATATGATTCTCCCATTTGTCTCTCTCGTTCTTTCTCTGTTTGTAAAG